CTTCTTTATCGTCCAATTTCGTGGAAACGGTTTCTCAAGCGCGCAAACATCCGAATGTGGCAGGTTCTCGGCAGGTAAAAACGTCCTTATCGTTTTGTAATTTGCGTTGTCCACGTTGAACGTTTCGCAAAGTGAAAGTGCCATTTATATCGATTGATCCGTCGCGTCGCGCAAATGTTTCTTCAAATCCTGGAGCTGACCAGCTGCTGACACGCCATTAAGATACACTTTGGTCACTTTCCTTAGATTTCCCTTACGTTTCGTCGTTCCAAGGCTAGCGTACATTTGTATCACGGTATAACGCGAGTTTATTCGAAATACGAGAGAGAGAGAGAGACGAGCGCGTTTGACGATCATCGACGTTTCTCGCCTAATTACGATCGTTTCGTGCTCGGGAGAAATCGTGAGGTCTCTCTATCTCTCTTTCGGTCGCGTATCTCACCGTTCCGTAGGAGCTTGTGCAACCTGCCGGCAATTTTCCGCACCGTGGCCGCAGAAATAAACGGCGAAGCGGATGCTGTAATCTCACTTCGGCAAAGCTGTACAAGATTCCTAGTTGAGATGTATTTTGCGTCGGTACCAACGCTGGCTCGCCCTCTGTTTCGTCTAATCCTATGAAACTCGAAATCCTTTTGATCTCGCAATGACATTTCGTTATAATGGTCGTTTTAATGCGACCCTCCGCGAAACGAGATTACTTTATCTTGTAGTCGATCTTGCTCTGAGCTTTCATTTGGAAAACGGAATAACCACGGGATACATTTTTCATGGTGTGCGCGCGCGTTGCTTTATTCTTGCAACAGGACAGTTTAATAACAGGAAGAAAGGGAAATATGATGTATCCCGACGATACCGCGAACGGTTAAAGTGATTCTAAAATGTTGCCTTTTGATATCGCGAACTTTCATTTTGCATGCTACAATTTACTCGCGATATTCCTGCCTCGTTCAAACCTGCTCTACGATTATTCCTTTAGTTTTGTTTCTATATCAGTTACGGGTACAAACTTATCATTCGTATTGCGTAATATATATATTGCAAAATAATAGAGAACGTAATTCAAGAGAAGGAAGAAAAAGAGAGGGAAAAAGGAAAAGCTGAATATAACGAACTAAAGAAAGTAAGAAGAAAAAGAGCGCTGAAAGAGAAAGCGATGTGTTGATAAAAATTGAATAAGAAAAACGGAAACAATAATCACGTCGAGATAAGAAACGAAAAGATAATACCGATAACAAAATGGATAAACGGAAGATACAAGTAATCAGAAGAATATAAATTACAGGATAAACGACTACAATTTCGACCTAAAATCTTAATCGAGAACAACAGGTGACACAAGGTTATACGCAATGTTGCAGTTTAATTAGCCGCGTAATCATAATTTCGCTGCGCTATTAATCAGGTTGAACGCCATCAATCTGCAAGATCCACGATCGTGCCCCGATTACGTTCTTTGTTTCGCTCGATTTTAATTTTACCCACACCAGGGACCGCGCGCTACCAACTCGTATCGCAATACCTTCGAGTAAGTTCCGCGTTTCACCTGGTGCCTTACGTGGCCGTAAATCAAGGGGCGGAATCCTTGAGAACTTCATCGAGTTTTATGCTGTATCTCCTTCCCCCTCTGGTGTGTTCTACATTTCGTCGGTAGAACATCGTGGAAACTATGTGCATCCCGCCGCACAATCTACAAAACAGAGGGACGCAGAAAAGCTCGTTCTGTGTTGCTCAACCGTAGGAAAGGAAACAATTACGACAGGTGTAAAGGAAAAAATTACCGGTCCGATCAGTTTTACCGAGTCGTTGCGCGATCGAGATCTGCCGCGGAACTCCTGTTACGTTGCTCTCCTTATCGTCGCGATTATTTCATTTTTACTACGCTGTTTCGCCGCGATAATGACCCCCTTTTATCTTCGATACCTGGACAGACGGGTAATCATCGGTGCATAAACACGCGAGAAACTCGTCGAGCTGTGTGGAGGTAAAACGCGTTGCAGACATTACCGCCCTCGTTCTCCGGCGTTCTCGATGATACGTAAAATCTATCCAGGCGTTTTCCTCGTCTGTACGTTACACGAAGAATTTCGTAAAACGCGAGACGTTTCGTTAGTTTCTCGAATTGGCAAAAAGTTCAAAGGTTCCCGTCGGAAAGGAAGATTTATCACAGCTGGTCTCTCCCTCGTTCGAAAGTCGCCGGGCGTTAAATTCTTCTCTTTCACGCGGCACGCGAGCACGGTTCTGCCGCGAAATTTCGTGGTAGAATGTCCGAGGGGACAGTATTCCATCGATTCTCGGTTTCGCAATCACGGCGTGAAAGAGAAAGGCAGGTGAAGAGAGAGAGAAAAAAAAAGAAAGCAAGAAGGAGGAAAGAACGAAGGAGCACTGGGGAGGAGAGGAACGTTCCGATCGTTTCGGAATGAAAATCGCACATTCGATCGCGAACGCCTCTTCCCCCTTTCTATTCTCTTCCTTTTTCCTCGTGAGTAACGAGACGCCCTGGCGGAAACCTGCTTTAAGACCTCGAGGTACCGTAAACGAGTTTGTTTACATAACTATAATAGAGCAATTATCGCGGGACCGACGTTTCTTCAAGCACCGCCCGCCGGTTCGATTCTCCTTCCTTCTCCTCCCCGCCCCTTTTTATTCCTCCTCGCCCTTACGATTCAAGGATTCGTTTTATTCCACTATTCTATCTCGTACCAACGACCTCTTCCATTAGGGACCACGTCTCGTTCCTCTCCCTCCCTTTCCTCCGGCTGCTGGCTGCTCCGTAGCTCGTAACTTTTGCACGGGGAGCAATAAAAGATCAGCCCACGCCGGAAGCCACGCAATTTCTCCGGAAATAGTTTTCATAGCAGCCGCTCGTGGGACTGCGAATACGAGAGCGCACTGGTTCGCCTACGTTCCGCTTGTACCGAGACGGTACTCCGTCTGTTGTCCGTGTATCTGGGATCTACGAGCTTGAGGTTTAGCACAAACATAAATCATATATTAAGCCCGCTTCATACCGTGGCTCGTGTTAGCGGACGCGTAATGTCTGATCGCCCCCGATTTCACGTCGCCCAACCTACAGCTGCTACGCTGGCTACGCTGATATCTCCAGACAATGTCCTCGTCGATCGATAATTTCCATGGAATTTAGGACGTCCCGGATGGAACTTTAACTCTCCACTATTGGTACTATTGTAACGGTGATTGTGCGAAGGGATCGTCTGCAGTTTCTCGATTGTTACTGGAG